TAATGTTCTTGTTCTGCATTTTCAGCCCTATAATATCTGTTTAACCAATCCCTACATCAAACTCTCTGTTAAAATTAGTGGTGTGATTTCTGTTTTCCTGACCGCTCTGGGGCAGGTGGATACACTCACTGATACACTCATCTTATGAAATTTGGTTCAGTGAACCCATTGTAGAGTGGGGATGTTAGATCTGACAATCACTTCCCTTCAGTGAGACAACAGTCCCTGCCAGGGATTTATAATGGACAAATAATTGTCATTTAAAAGGCACATACCATTCAGCAGTGGAGATATTTCCCACCGCAGTATTGGCAGTCTTTTTGCCAGGTGTATCAGATGTAAGACCTGTCATAGATACATAAAACTCCATGGGAATCAGGTTATATTTTATTGTATTGCTTCTGAGGTTTCCTGCTGTAGGGGTCTCCACTTAAATTTGGCTACCAGTCTGGTGACTATGTACAGATGCTTGAATAACATTTTGAAATGTGAGATGTGCTGCCTCTAATACCCAAAGAGGCCAAACAGATCATAGGCTTTTTTCTTTTTTTTTTTGGTAGTGTTTGTAAGGCCAATAGACTTTCCTTATTATGCTATGGGATGTCTCTTTGGGCTGTTCCTAATACAGCCCCCAAGACATGTAGTTGGGTGGCCTGGCTCTGGTATCTATACTCATTCAAGGGCCAGGCCACTTGTGGACACTTGTGCTTAGATTAGAGAGCATGCATTAAAGTGAGGACTACCAAAATGTCATCAATATAATGGAATGGGCTTGCCCAACCCATTACTGATAAATTGCACTTACTTGCTGGAGGAGTGTGAAATTCCCACAACAAACCAGAAATTAATGTTCTGTCAGGTGAAAGCAAAATATTTCTTCTCTTTCTGGAGAAATTTGAAGAACATTAGTAATATCTAGAGTAATTCTGTCCAATTGAAATATAATGTACGCCACATATGTAATTTTAACTTATCTAGTGGTCATTACTAAAAAGAGTAAAAAAGAGATAGGTATAATGAATTTTCATGGCATATTTTAGTTAACCCAAGAGATTTAAAATATTTATATTTCAACAGCTAAATATAAAAAATAGAGACATTTTTCATTCTTCTTTCCAAACCAACTCTTCAAAATCTCTTATGTATTCTACATATTCAGCACGTCTTAATTCAGATGAGCACATTTCAAGTACTCAACAGCCGTATGTGGCTTAGTGGCTTAAGAACTGGACAGCATAGCTCTAGGACATACCACATTGCCAGTAACGGCTGCAATCAGTTCAGTCATCTGTTGGTGTATCAGGCACTGTGAGTGCCATGGCGGCCACTGTTAAAATCACAATGATCCATAATGATCTGTAATCTAGGGCCAAGGACACTGGATTTGCTCACTGGCTTAACAGGGTTGTGGAATTGGAAGGTAGTGTAGCCTACCATTCCCTCCTGGCAATGCCAGTAAATCTTGTACAAGGGGAATGTTTTCTTTCTCATCTTCGGTATGTGCCAGCTTTAACTGTACAATCCCGACAGGCTTTGGAAGTGCAGAGAGTTCTGCAAATTCAATAAGACTGATTTATAGCATTCACTAAGAGAGACTGCCATGCTTGCATCCATTCAGATGCTTTGCTTTGCTGGGCTGAGGGGACTCAGCATGTCCATATCAATTGTGGAGTCTGACAAAGGGATGGTGAGTGAGCATGGTCTTATCAAAGCAGCGAACAGCATCTGCAGTAATTGTGCTGAGTCTCTTGGTTCTAAGTAAAACCAATCCCAACTCCGGCCAGGGAAATTTACTGTGGACTTTATCAGGTCCAAGAATAACAGCTTCTTGGGATCCTGTGTTTTATTAAGTCTAGGTCTGTTAAGTCCTTCCCCTACCTATGTTCCAGGCTACATGGATTGGGACATGAAGTTAGCATCTCCTTGTAAAGGGCAGAGGAACTGGCCCTGGGCCAAGCTTGCTTTTAGTTTAAATGGACTTGGATTGAACAGCTCCCCAGCAATCGGCCTAGAAAATCAAACTCTCAGGTGACACAGAGGCCTCTGGGGGTAGGAAGTGTCTGAGAGTCTTGTTTCAGCAGTGTTAAGATGTGGTCAACTGCTTAGCTTCCTCTAAACCCTTCTACAAGGACGCAGGAGGCGTTGGAGCTTTGCTGGCCACGCAGTGGGGAAAGCTAACTGCCTCCATCTCCAAAGGGAACCCTCCCATCCAGAACCTCCTTGCATCAGCTCTCCATAGGGGGGTCCTTAATGCCTACTGTAATACCAGCGTTGTTTCCTGCATCCTTCTCTCTGCAAGCTCCTTAGAGTGATTCTACTTTTCCTGTCTGTCTTCTTAGCTAGTCATCACTTTCTTCCAGACCAAGAGTCATAATGTACTGCCTGTGCGAGCCTAGGAAAAGTCTGGAGTGATGCTCTTCCCTTTTCATTTTTGCTGAGACATACTCTTTCCAGGGTCCCTTTATCTCATTACCCCGCTTTGGGTGGGGCATGTATCAGCTCCAAAGGATTATTTCATCCTTTACATTCTGGCAGAAGGAGCAAAGTTAGGGATGTCTCCGTATAAGAAACCATCAACTTTTCCAACATTCTCTGAATTAAGGTCATTTGGTTACTACTTATCCCAGATGCCTAGGATTTTCATGCAAGCATGCAAAAATGCCAAGTTGTCTCAAAACAGCTTTAACCTCAGTAGAGTGGGTCCACTTTGTACTCAGTTTCTCAGGAAGTCTCCTCTTGGTGGTTAGGTGAATCTGATTTCCCTGAACATCCAATTCAAGAACAAGGCAGGTCCATTTGCTCCCTCCCCATTGGTCAGCCTAGCACATTCATCTGGCAAAAGATAATCTCATGATAAACCCCAAGTGTTTGCCATTCAGCTTCACTACTTTGTGGGTGTAGCCTCTTCATCATATAAGCAATTAAAGCCTCAGGTTACTCTTGTGACCATTGCTGGGAGTCCAATTCCCTGTTAGTGTTTTTGAAACCCCACAGGATACACCTCAATTCCTCCCAAAGGCCCCTGAGTGGTACACTGCACAATGACGAGTCTCAAATCTAAAAGTTGTGGCTGTGTGCGGTGGCTCAGGCCTATAATCCCCGCACTTTGGGAGGCCAAGGCAGGCAGATCACCTGAGGTCAGGACTTCGAGACCAGCCTGGCCAACTGGGCAAAACTGCATCTTTACAAAAAATAGAAAAATTAGTTGAGCATGATGACACGTGCCTGTAGTCCAGCTACTAGGGAGGCTGAGGCACAAGAATCGCTTGAACCTGGGAGGCGGAGGTTACGGTGAGCTGAGATCACGCCACTGCACTCCAGCCTGGGTGACAGAGACTCTGTCTCTTAAAAAAAAAAAAAAAAGTTTAGATTGCATCAACTATTCTAATGGCACTTAGGGGCTGGGGCTGAGGGTTTTCTCCCAACTTTTTTCCTTAGGTCTCAAAAAGTCTGCCAGACTTGGAGTGCCAAATGATTAAATTGTCTCAATCTCCCATACACAGACTTCCCAGGATCTTTGTGGCACATGGACACCAATAAGCACCACACTAACATGCATAGCAGAGATGTTAGCTTGGCTGGGTTTCCCATCACCAGCCCCAGCAGGGATGCTGTCCATCCCTAGTATTGCTCAGTTGATCCCTTTTGCAGTTTCCAAAAAGCCAGAGGTGAAATAAGCGGATTTTACCTCATGTTGGGCACCATTTTTGAGGTAATGGGTTATGGCAAACTGCACAAAGACACACAGAAGAAAAAGGTTTTAATGAGGGAAACTTGTCAGCAAAGGGTCAGGAAGAGACACAAGGATACCATTCTCTCATGCAAAAGCTAGAGCACTGCTGGCTGCACCCTGGGTCTGTATTCCAGGGGAAGGATTTTTCTTCCCTGTGAGTTTAACACAGAGCAAGCCTCTCCCACTAACAGAAAACTCCTTAGTATATAAAAAAATTAAAATAAAATGGATTTTCTCAGTTTCATTATGGTACATAGAAATTGAAAAAACTTTTTAAATGACCTCAGGTAAACAGAGAAAAAAAAGATGCTCAAGATTTAAAGTCTGGTACATTAAGCCTTATGAGCAATCAAGAGTAGCACATGGTAATGACTATTTCAGAATAACTGGTTATCAGAGACATAGAGGTTCACAAGGCTGTTTATCGCCATGAAACTGAAACTGGCTCAAAAGGGTCAGAATCATTTTGCTGCCTCTAAAAGACGTATATTCCGAGTCACCAGGAATTCTAAGACCATGATCAGATGAGAGAGATGGCTCTGAGAGAGCTAAGTTGAGTGTTAAGCTGGTTGCCTCCAACAGGCTGTTCATGTGTAGTGCTGAAAATTACTGTGAAACAAGGAAAATCCAAACAAGTTACTTGAGTATGGTTTCAGCCTACCCACCACTAATGATGCCCAGTTAGACAAAATGGGTAACAAAGAACCACAAAAGTATCAGAATGAAAAACTAGAAAAGCAGAAAATAAAGTTATTTTTCTGGGAAAAAAGACTCATCAAGGTAGAGGAAGCTGTCTAACATCATTTTGGATTCTAACACTGGGTAGAACACTGACACCGTCACCTCTCCATTTGTTACCTTTTAAGCGGGTAGGCTGTGCCAGAGTTCCTTGAAGTGATTACCATAGTCAATTCCCAGGTACATTCTACCTAAAAACCTGTCATTTATTTTATTACTGAGATGTTTAAATCATTTTTGTTTTACTCCACAGACATACTTTTTTCCAAAGGGCAGGGTATGTTTATGTGTGCACAAATAGGAGTATATGTTTAATATGGTTTAGTGGCACCCTATGCAATAAATGTGTTGAAATTTTATGTCTGGGAATATGGAGAATTATTTTCAAGTATCTTCGTTTTTGCCTTTTAAGGGCTCATAAAAGATTATTTGCGACATACATTTACTTTGCACAACTTTCCCCCCACATATCATTAGTTTTTGTCAAATGTAGAAATTTAAAACCAGGAGCAAACATCTGTCAGACTAATTTTTTGCTTTTTCATAAGTGCAACTTTTTAATAAAAATTTACATCTAGATAAACAATCTTCAGATTTTTGAAACTTTAATAAGATTTTAAAAACATCATGACTTTGAACTGAAAAACATACACGATTAGCACACAAATATTGTAATATGAATCAACTCCAACTCCATTTGAAAACATGTGAATCAAAGTACAGTTTTAGAAGTTAGTAATTCACATTTAAGCAAGTTAGCGCCTTGCTGAATTCAGCCTTTGTAAAAAAGAGACTTAGTGCATAATGTAATGGTACACTGTGGTTTTGTACCATTTGGTTGAGTTTTTCACTTTATTAAACAAGTTCTTGAAAGTTGGTAGATAAAGGCTAACTTCCTATGACGTGAAATTTCCAATGGTAACAGTTACATTTTGTAACAGAACACTTTCTATAGATTTCTTTTCCTAGCTTAAAATTTTAAAAGCAATCATTTGTAAGGATTGCATCAACATCAGTTTAGCAGAGGAAGATCAAACTTTATTGAAACTGCTTGCATACAAAATATATTGCACTATAACCAAACAAATGTCAACATAAAATCCAATCTGTTGTCGCTAATATGTACAGAGAATATTGCCCAAGAGCAGTTACATTACAAGGTCATTCTACCTTGGTTAATTATCTACAGTATTTTAAAACCAAACAGCTTACAGATGATGTGTGCAAGGTACCAATTTCCGTTTTCAAATACTATACATTCCCAGAATAAATAACTAGAAATCAACATTAATGTTTGGCAATACTTTTTAAAAGACTTTTTAATATTTGTGAAATCATGTGCAGTTTGTTGCCATTTTTATATGCTTGCTTGTATGCAAGGAAAAGTAACTGTAAAATGAAAATTCAAAGAAACAAACTCACAAAATACATCAGAGGCAGAACTTCAGTTTTTACGGCTCTGTACAGATTCAGTGGTACCCCTACTAGGAGTTACTTTTTAAGAAAAATATAACATCTTAGAGTGAAGGTCCTTCACATATTTGTCCTCAATAAATTTCACTAAAAAAAAAAAAAAAAAAAAAAAAAAAAAAAAAAAAGACTCGAAAAACCAAACCAAACCCCAACACTTCAAAAAACAAAATAAAAAAAAGTATTATTTGTTAACCGATCTTAGTCTTTTCCAATTCTGCTTATACATTAGACCATATATTTCAAAGTTTACAAAACATTTAACCTGCTTCCAATGTTTCTTAGACAAAGTACCTGTACTTCGCAGGATTGTTATGCATACATGGAAATGACCTTCCTATCTCTCCAAACTAAGCTTGAAATTAAAATATGAAAAATTTCACAAAACTTGGGGCAGACAAAATTAAAAAAAAAAGCTCTAAGTTAAAATTGGTCATCAGGCCAAAGAGCAGGCAAATCCTACTAACTTTCGACCAGGAAGATTTGTTCCTAGCTGAAAACATTTTAGCCTCTCTCAAATGAAAAGATAGTTTTCTTCTCCTGTCTATACAGAAAAATTACACATCTCTCTCAATAACACTATTTATCAAACTTCAGTGCAACGAAACAAAAACAAAAACAAGTCCTATTCTTTATACTGCCTAACCTGATGTTTATGTAAGGAAAAAAATATGGAAAGCATGCATTCTTCTATAAAGTACTAATGTTTGACAGGGTTTGCTACATCTTTAACATTTAGTGTTTCCAACTTATCTTCCCTGAACTCTGCATCCAAATATAATATTCCTACCTGCCAAGATATAAAAAAGGCACAGATCATACAACTTTTTTTGCTAATGAAAATGACAAATGTCACATCACACACATTTCAGGGTCCACTAAAATACTGGAAAAGTGGACCAAAACATAAACTGACACAGGACATGAAATGACATAGCATTTCATGAAGACTTCTATACGAGATCGAAAACAGAAGTCTAATATGATTACCATAAATGCTATATATTACGAAAAACTGAGAATGTACTGGTGAATTATCACCCAATGCAGGAAAATGGTTCAAATTAACAAAGAATATCACTGCTCAGTACTTTAGAAAATAAAACTAAAATCTGCCCTGAAGTGCTAAGTAGTTTTAAAAGCAATGTTTCAAATTTTAAGGTATCTTTTTGTGCAAATCTGAAAATTGTTGCTTATGGCCAATACCAAAAAATAAAAACCTCTTAGCAGAATTTGTGTTCATTTCATGCCCTGTGCCATCTTGCCTACTATTTGTCTTTGGCCTAACAAAGTTTTCTAATATGGAATACGAATTACGGAAATGGTATAGGAAATATAACTTCAGAATTATGCAGTTTAGGGTACTCCATTCACGAGTGGTTGCTGACCATCCACGGTGTCTGGCTTTTCCTTCTTCTGGTTACGATCTTTACCCGTGCGCAGCCGATTACCTTCACTGGAGGTATTCTGTAATGTTTTAGTGTGGACACTCCTTTCATTATTGCAGTCAACTCTGATCTAAAACAAGTTATAGTTGTTATATATACAGACCATATCCTACTGTAATCTGTAATTGGCCTGAGAAGAAATTTAAACCTGAAGTGTAAACTCCACATGTTAAAAAGAGAAATGGAGATGAGAACAGAAGAAGTGCAAGAAATTAATGTAAGGTAGGATTCTTTATTTGGTTTATGATTTTAAAACACTCTTCTTCTTTAACTGGAACACACTGGTCATCTCACTGCATCCAAAGTTAGAGAAAAACTCACAATCCTATCATGTCTTCTTCTAAGTAGAATAATACAGTGAGAAACAAACAGGTAAAATGAATTACTATTACTGATTACCAGAAGACATACATGCCTCTAACACTAGAGTTAAAATAAAATGAGTTATTCTCCAAAGATTGTGAAACCTAGGAAACGAGAAACAAAATGTTTTCCTATTCTGGCTTTACCCTCAAATAACTCACTAACTAGACTTTAGTTTACATCTTTGTATCTATCACAGGTATGATCAAGTTTCTCTATACCGTGAGCTCCCATACTCATACAGTAGAAAAACACAAGCTTTGGTTTCTACTGGCTTGTATTTCACTAAGAAAATTCGGATGATCCTACAACCTGAACTCTGTCTGAAGAATGGAACAGTATAAAGAAAATTGAATATAATAATTTGTGGAAGGACTGGAATCCTAGGAGAGTATAAAGATTAATATAATTTAAAAAATAGTGTTCTAAGAGCTATACAATATTTTAAGTGCCAATGCTGAATACAGCACTGTTAATTCCAGAGGTACAAATGAAAGTTAACAGTGACAAATGGAACTAAAACAACTACAGATATTGATCTACTTCAAGCACAAATGCTAAAAACATCCCCAAATAGTTGTAATTTCAAAGTATGTTTAAGTAGCGGGTATGCGCATGTGTTTTAAATGTCTGGTTACCAAGGATTCAGTACTTTGATTTGTATCTTTTTTTTGAGACAGTCTCACTCTGTCACCCAGGCTGGAGTGCAGTGGCATGATCTCGGCTCACTGCAAGCTCCGCCTCCCGGGTTCACGCCATCCTCCCGCCTCAGCCTCCCGAGTAGCTGGGACTACAGGTGCATGCCGTCACACGCGGCTAATTTTTTGTATTTTTAGTAGAGACGGGGTTTCACCATGTTAGCCAGGATGGTCTCGATCTCCTGACCTTGTGATCCGTCTGCCTTGGCCTCCCAAAGTGCTGGGATTACAGGCGTGAGCCACCGTGCCCAGCTTTTTTTTTTTTTTTTCTGAGATGGAGTTTCGCTCTTGTTGCCCAAGCTGGAGTGCAATGGCGAGATCTCAGCTCACTGCAACCTCTGCCACCTGGGTTCAAGCGATTCTCCTGCCTCAGCCTTCCGAGTAGCTGAGATTACAGGTGCCCACTAACACGCCTGGCTAATTTTTTGCATTTTTAGTAGAAACAGGGTTTCACCATGTTAGCCAGGCTAGTCTCAAACTCTTGACCTCAGGTGATCAGTCTGCCTTGGCCTCCCAAAGTGCTGGGATTACAGGCGTGAGCCACCGTGCCTGGCCAGATTTGTATCTATTTTCATAACATCACCTTTTTAATTCAGTATTCCATTTCATTTAGAAATATAAATGTGCATCCTGGTTAGACTGCCAAGTTCATCAAACATGTCGGTTAAAGTGGAGAATTACAAAACTGGTACATAAATATCTTATAGCTTTGTAAAAGACAGGTACATACACTAATTTGCCAATCTATCTATGTCCAAGGGATTTCTGTGCTGGTCCTTAAGAACCCATCAATAGTTAACACTCACTTTGAGCTGCTATGAATTCCAAGAAATATTCCATCGTAAACTTTGTCTTAAAAAGTATCTCTCACTAATCTTGGGTGATGGTCCCATGAATCCATAGTCAGGAAGGAACCCTAACTACTTGTCTTGAAAATTAAAAGTTACAGAAAAAGTAGACAACAACATGGATTCGGAGAATCAAACATTAAGGTTTGACTATCATTTGGACATATGCTAGCTATGTGACTGGGGGCAAAGGACTGAAGCTTCAGTGCACTCACCTATAAAGTGGAATAATAAAACTACCTCAGTGGGTTGCTGTAAGATTAAATGAGATAAAACATACACAAAGCACTTAGCAAAGGTGTCTGGATGTGCTCAGGAGATAATTTTAAAATTATATAACAACTGGTTTAGCACTGGTGACAGCCAACTGAGAAGGGATCCTCAGACTAGGTCCTGGGTGTAAATAAGCGGATGACTGACCAAGCATGGAGACTAGCTGAATATCATCAGCTCTGTCTATCATGATTATTAGTTGTGAGAGAGACATCTTCTTTTCCTTATTTTCTATTCAGAGACAATACCCTATCCCTGTATCTCGGGGGAGCAAAGACACATAGAGCTTACTGAAGTCTCTAAGTACATCCCAGGATGTTCCTTCTCTAGGGGATTGTAGGTCTACCAACGCAGTATTAAAATCATAGTGTGGCTGGGCACGGTGGCTCACGCCTGTAATCCCAGCACATTGGGAAGCCAAGGCGGGCAGATCACCTGAGGTTGGGAGTTCAAGACCGGCCTGACCAACATGGTGAAACCAGGTCTATACTAAAAATACAAAAATTAGCTGGGCGTGGTAGCAGGTGCCTGTAATTCCAGCTACTCAGGAGGCCGAGGCAGGAGAATCACTTGAACCTGGGAGGCAGAGGTTACTGTGAGCTGAGATTGCGCCATTGCACTCCAGCCTGGGCAACAAAAGCAAAACTCTGTCTCAAAAAAGTAAAAATAAATAATAAATAATAAAATCATAGTGTGTCTGTCAAGGTCTTTATAAATACTCAGACTGCATATTCTCTAGAGAAATCCCCTTATTTTTATACTTGTCACGAAGAACTAAGATTGACTACAACTGTAATGTTGAAGGTAAAATATTTCATATAAACTGGATTTGTAATCTTTGAACATGTTTTCAATAAAGTAAAATAAACTCATAAATCTCAAACTACCATATTCAGACAATTAAGATGAAAAGAGGCAGACAGGTTTTACCTGAAGGGATCCATCCGTTGTTCTTCCTTTAGCCTCTCTTGGATTACGTGGACGATTATCTGTTCGGGAGTGATCGTCGTTTCCTATGAGAATATTTTCAAAAGGTTCAACAGTTACTGAATTCTGAAATGCTTACCGGAAGTTCTTTATTCCCACATCCTCTATTTAAACCAACCATAGAATCTGAAATGTAATCAACCCCAGTGATTCCAGTTACATAATGATCAATAATCTAGCCTGCTGTCAAGTAACAGAAAATATTTCACAGGTATTGTAATTCTGCATCTAGAGGTCAATGTGAGTTAATGAAGTGATGCTGTTTAGACTCACAAAGATGCTGAATTAGTTATCAGCATTTATTCATCTATCTATATGAACCATAAGGAAGGCTGCCTAATATTCTTTCTTTCTACACAAGTGGAAGGCTGATCCTTTCCTATGGTGATCAGCACAAAATGGGAGAGATGGGATCTTGATAATAGTTCATTGCATCAACAGGATTTTTCATGGAACTTCAAGACAGCTGCTACAATTCACTTTGATTTCTTAATGAAGATCTCCATACCTTTGAAGCCTCCTCCACGTCCTCTTCCTCCTTGTCCTCTTCCTCCCCCTCCACGCCGCCGTCCGTCTCCTCTGCGCAGGAAGTTCTCCCTCTCTTCCTCTGTTGGAGCTAATGACCAATCACTGAGTTCGTCTCTGTGGTCAGATTCTGTTTCAGAAGCATTTGATGCTTCAGAATTAGTTCCTATCGAGAGTTAAAAGTTATATACCATTGTCTGACTTAAAAAAAAAAAAAAAAAAAGAGGTTAACAGAAGCTTCCAGAGACGTTTCAGGGGTAATCCAAAACTCTTCCCAATTTATAAGCCCACAAAGAGTATTATCACCTTCCATTTCATAAAACAAAATTTTAAACTCAAAATGAAGGGCTTTGCAATATTTGAGGTAATTTCGGTTATAAACATGTTTCATTCTCATTTTTAAAAAGGTATTTTATTAGCCACCTAAGTTCAAACCTTAATGTGCCATATCATTAAACAGCTGTGTTCCTTTAAACATCTATGCTCTCTGGAGTAAAGATTATCTATGACAGTTAAGTGTGATACCTTGATAAAACCTCTATAAAGAGAGCTCCTTTTAGCAAGATTTGGCCCAGGACAGAGGGGAATGTATATAATCTGGTCATTTCTGAGAGGGTGGCAAAGGAGGCCACCATGGCAACTGCTTCAGGGAAGGGTCTTTTGTGGGGTCACGGATTGGATCTAGCTGAAGGCAGATACACGCTTGCCTGATGTTTGGTCCACAACCTGCCCCCCAACTCCCATTACAATAACTGATCATTAATAAAGAATTACTATAATAAACTCATTATGCCTGAAGGGGTTAATGACTTAGAGGACAGGAGTGGAGAAAAAGAGCTCCACGGTGAGGCAGAAATTCATGAATAAAAAGAATAGACTGTTGGGAGAGGGGTTAGGGGTTAGGTTCAAGGTTGGCCTTAGGAGTAGGTAATTCTCCCCAACTCCAGAATATCAACTCTACTACCTCTCTCTTCCTCTGTTGGAGCTAATGACCAATTATAGCTTCACCATTATAGCTTCATTCCTGTGGATCTTGAAGGCTTTTCCATCTTAAAGAGTTCCTTTTTGAAATGCAAATATGCGTGAGATGGATTATATCTTATACCACCATTAGCAAGTTACAAAGTAGATACACAGTTGAGCAAGAAAGACAGTAGGCACTGGCAGGTGGGGATCAGGTTCACTGAAAGGTACTGGGAGAGAAGAAAGAAGCACGGACAGAAAAGTTGGGAAGGCAAAGAGAAACTTTGCCTACTTCTTGACTGTGCCTAGGGCTGACTTTGGCCATGCCACTGAAAATCACCTTATGAGCCACAAGAGGCAGACCCCTGATTTACAGTCCATCCAGCAAGTATGACCAGCACATACCTGACAAAAAAATGAGCCACAGTACACAAATGAAAAAAGTTTTGACTATACGGTTATAAAATCAGGAGAGGCCTTAAAGAAAATCATCAACACACAAGGGCTTTGCAGATTTACCCCCAAACAGAGCATGAACAGAACTTGCACCTGCCCTGTGAACTCTACGTGTTTATTATCAGGTTTTTATTCTGTCTCTTGTAACACAATTTAACCCATTGCGAACTGGAAACCATGTAGTGACAAATTGTTATAATGGGGTTCTAATGAATATTAGAGATTAGCAGCTATAAGTCTAGGAACAGATAAAGTTACTGAGTAAAATGCTTAGTTTGTACCTGAAGTATATCCAGGACCGCGTCTGCCGTGCCCCCTATTTCTGTAAGGTCTACTACCTCGACCCATTCCTTGACCATCATCAGTCACATAGCTTTTTTCCTTATCTGTACGATTTGGTGGTGGTCTAGAACTAGCTCCAATCTGTCGCAACTGCTCATCAATTTGTAATCTCTCCAAACGCAACTGGTCTACTTCCTATTTAAAATATACAAGATAACAGTAAAAATAATTTGACATTTTACTTAATAAAACCTTTCTCCTTTTCATCAGATAAAAAATATACTGGAATATTTCAATTTCAGCTCTAAATTTACAGTAACCACTGTTACACAGAATTATCAGGAAACTGAATGATCTCCTTAAAAAGAAAATCACTACAGATAACAGATTATCGATGTCGAGAATTAGAGATATAACAAAAACACTCAGCATTAAAGTTATACTGAATACAATTTAAAGTTGTCTAATTTGGCACTATTATCCAAGTATTCTACTGCTAAGGCACAGATATGCTATTTTGGGGACTTCTTCATGATAGGATATTAAATAAAACAATGCTAAACTGTATGAATACAGATAAATGACATTTAAGGTTTAACCAGTTAACCTTAAAAATCACACATTGTAAATAATCTTGATTAAAATAGATTTGCCAGTTAATACCTTAATTTATAAAGCATTGAGTTTGGGCCATCTTTTGTTTTAAAAGAACATATACTATGGTTAAGGAACAATGATTTTTTCATGAACTGAAAATGCTGACTATTCCTCATGAGGGGAAAACAAAACTATTTAATACCTGACCAGACAGCTAGGTCTTACATCAGGCCTTGAAAACTTCTTAAAGACTACAACTCTGCTACAACAAGTATGAGAAACAGTACACGTTCAGTTGATAGAAATATACACCTGGGGTCCACTGACAGACCCTTACAAACAGTGCTTCCAGTATGCTGGGTTCTGTTAAAACCAGATGAAACCTCATTTCTAACCACTGTCCTCCCAATCCACTCATAAACATCTCATTTACTGGCTACAGGGAATCAGATTCATAACTATAGTAGTAGTAGGTGTCTCAGTGAAGCAGAGGTTATCATAGAGACTGTCTATATCAACAGTCATTGGAGAAGCCCCTGTACAGCTAAGTTTCTAAAATCTTGGTTGTGGCAGCTTCTGGAAAAGAAAGGTCAGGTAAGGATTTGGTCAGTTTCATCTGTGCTCTGCCATCATTAGCAAGTTACATAGTTACACCAGAATCTGTTTTACATAGAATTTGAGCAAAGGAGAGACTGCAGCTGAGTGACTTCTTCCAAAGGTATAGTAATAGCTCATAGAATGGGAATATCTTGCAAAACAGAACAGTAGTCCAGGTTATCCCACTGGGGCAAAGCAGTCACCTTTTGGTGAGATGCCAGGCCCAAACAAGGGAAGTTCTGGTGATGGAAAGAATGGCAACAGGGCAGCTGCTGATAACCAAAGAAGATATTCTTGAGAATAAATCAAAGGATCTAAGAAAGAACATCAGTCAAAAGAACAAGGGATTTGATACAATGCAATCCTAACTCTCCAGGCCTTCATAATGATTTAAGCTAAGAATATGAAGAAACACACACACAAGATTACACATAAACACACTTAAAAAAAAAATCAAAGAGGTATCCTACCCATGTAAACCTTGCTGGATGAAACCTTCCCACTTTTAATTAACTGGCCACCATAAGAATGAATGGCATGCCCAGTATTACACTTTTTCTTCCTTTCATTCTTATTTACACACAAGCAGAAATCATGTACTTTTTCTTTCAAGAAATCAGCAAAAAAAAATTCTTAATGCCATAAATAAGAGTTGAAATGCTCTTTAAAAACATTTAATACCAGCTACATTATAATTTTGATATGTATGGATACAAATAAAACATCATGAAAATGAAGTAGATCAATTTCCATTTCATTAAATTATAGAACATTTTGGCCAAAAGGAATTTCAAGAAGCATCTAACGTAGGGAAGTGACTTGCCTAAAGTCACACAGCTAGTTCATTGGCTGAAGTCTTATAAGTAAATTGCTGGATTGTCAATCCAGTGCTTTCTCCACTACACCTTGTAGCCTCCTGGTTCCTATCTTCCGGTTTGAAATTTAAAGGAGGCATAACTGCATCACACTAACTAAAATGAACATTTACGAGAAGACACAAATAGTTTGTATTTTGAATAACAGTAAAGAGAAAAGTAGAGAGGGTAAACATTTAAGCAAAGAACTTCACGAAATGCTTAGATTTCCTTGATAAATGACATAAAAGGAGCAATAAAGGCAAGAGTTATAGACACAAATTTTGGCCTGGAAAAAAGCAAAATGCTAGAAAGGATCAAATGGATTAATAGGCTATGTACAGGATTGCCTAAACTGAATGTAAGGGTTTAAGAGAAGAATAAGGGGAAATATAAAACTTTATTGAGAACTGGTATATTGGTACTTAAATTTATAAAGACTTCCATTTTTAGAAAAATTATAAGCTAAACAACGTATTTTCTCTATTATCTTTGACAAGTCATACAGTGTTTTGCACAGGCTAGAATGAGTCCTAACTGCTGAAAGATCTACTATAAAGTTTGTATATTTTAGTACAAAAGGATTAGAAGTTAAAGTTCTTTCTGTTCTCACCTTTAAATAGTTCAGGTGATAATCCAAAAGAACAGTGGCATTAGCGATGCTGTCCTTTGTTCCCACAAAAACAAATGGTACCATACCCTGCAAAAGAAATTGCAACAATGATCCTATAAAATTAATGACAGATTAATCTGAAAAATGCAAGTAATGACTAATTCCCTAGCACAGGATCTGGTGAATAGTAGGTACACAAATGTTTGCTGTAAATATAAATCAATATATGAAAACAAAAGTAGTTGATATACTACTTTATACATCTACTATGAATACGAATAGATCAATAGCAACCTCTTAAACATATCAGATTATTATAAAGACTAGTATTCAGTATTAGCAAAATCACAAAATGTATAATTCAAAATTATACAAGCTTTAGCATGAGATGTATGAACAAAATTAGTAGTATAAGATGCTCTAATTCATTTACAAAAGGCCTTATCCTGATCAATTTTTTTTGTTTTTTTTGGTTTGTTTTTGAGACAGGGTCTTTTTATTCTGTTGTCCAGGCTGGAGTGCAGTGGCATGATAATGGCTTGCTGTAGCCTTGACCTCCTCGGGCCCTAGGTGCTCCTCCCACCTCAGCCTCCTGAATAGCTGGGACTACACGTGCATGCCACCATACCCAGCTAATTTTTGTATTTTTTGTAGAGAAGGGGTTTTGCCACATTGCCCAAGTTGGTCTCGAACTCCTGGGCTCAGGCGATCTGCCTGCCTTGGCCTCCCAAAGTGTCGGGATTACAGGCGTGAGCCACTGCACCTGGCCGATCAAATTCTTTAAAAAAAATCAAAATGAAATACCAAGGGTACAAAAGTAAAAAGTAAATCATTTCTGCTAACCAAGTAAAACAGTACACACAAAATACAAACAAAAACATCAGGATAAAAATGCACTGAAGAATCTGTGAGACAAAAAAATAGGTACACTGACAAGCGTAAGTTTTATTAAGCCCATACACATTTCAATAATGTACTCAGAAAATTTTAAAAGGCTGAATCACAAGGAAAGTTTGAACTTCTCTCTATGGACACTACTTAATATAAGAACAGATTTTTAAAAGGCATATGCTAAATGTCTGTACTCCTAGCCTATATATATATATATATATATATATATAAAAAATGAGGAAAAAAAAACTACTTCTTGTCACAAGTTATAGGGAAACCTAGACACAATTGTGCAAATTATTAACTGGCAATTCATTTCTGCATGTTGGGTGTTTCTCCAACAAGCTTTATTTGTTACAAAGCCTTTAACTGTATTATTTCCCAAAATACCATGTGATGGAATGAATGCTACACCCTTCCCTCTGGGTCAAACATCACCAAACTAAGCTTTAAAATCCTATGTAATAGATTTAGTTAGATTGACTTTGGAGCAAATTATTTACGAATATCTTTTCTTGCAACGTTTAAACTGTTGGAGTACCCCAAGGGCCACTCTAATTTAAGCACTTCACGAGTAGACCTGAATAGTAAATTAAAATGAAGAAAGGCAAGAATGGACTGATGGCCTTCAATATGGACACCAGAAAAAAGTTACTCCTTGTTCTGGGATAATGGGCTGCCCGGCAATGAGACATATCCAATCTACTTGCCGTTATAGTCCTCTTTGTAAAATGGCACCTTTGCTTTTAATCCATGAGTTCACAACATTTTTTCCATAAACAGTTCTCACGAGCTCTCCCTGCCCTCAAGGAACTTACAATGTGGTTGAGGAGATCAACAAATAAACATCTATGTTTAAGTGCTATGCTAGGGGTGAGCACATTGCAAAACAGAAGGGGAAGGCTCTTGAACCAGCCATGGCGGTGGGGATCTTTGGCAAGTACACAAGGAAAGCTTTGTAAGGAATAAAGTCAAAATGAAGTGACAAGTGGAGGAGAAAAAGCGTTCCAGGCAGAGTAAACCTCTACATACGTCTAGAAGCAACATAAGCATGAGAATGTTCAGAGAACTCAAAGTACTTCAGTATGGCTTAAGCGTCTCTAGAGTGCAAGGGAGAAGATAATTTAGACATGATACTGGACAAGTAACTGGGAAAAGCCTTACAAGCGGCATGAAGGTGTTTAAGCTTTAACTCCGGGGCAATGGATCCACATACCCACAAACACTCCTCCCTCCAGTCCCTAATCCTGATGATCATCTGTAATCTTTCTTAACAAGGGGAATAAACATTAAAATATAAACTGAAAGTGTACTTCTCAAGGAATGTTCTCCTACCTGCCAAGCCTTGAGTTCAGGTTTCTGGGATTCCCCTGCTACAACTGATGAAGCCACTAACACCTAAAGCAGTATAAGGAATGCAAGGGATGTCATTAACTATAACAAATGATACACAGAAGCCTGAACGCAGGACTTTCACTGCAGGACTTTTAAACCGATTTCTAAATAGATTAGTTCAGAAAATTAGTTTCTAAAATATGGTTTTAAGTAGTAACTAATGCATCTAACAGAAGGTGTATTTTGAGCTACAATACCTGGAAAATTTAAAGAAAGAAGGCATGGAAAAAAGACAGCCCACTGTCAAAAGAAAAATGTGACCACTAAATGCAACCCCATTATTCTGTGTTTACAGCATAAGATTGTCACTGTGAATAAATTGAAAAGTATGTATCACATTAATTTGTAGTATCTCATAAACTGGCAATCACATTTGAAAAAAAAAAAATAGAACATAAGTAGCCTACAAGTCTAACCAGAGAAAAAACCCAAAATACCAATTGTGACATCTGAGACAAATTTCTTTTATTGTAATTCAAAGTGACAAGTAATTCTTACCCTCTGGACTTTTGTACTGTTAGGTTGAGAAAAATGGGTGCTGTTTTCCTTTATATCTAAATGTTTTTTTTCTTCTGGGGCATTAGGTCCAACCCTTGAATTATTGGAAGGAAGGGAATTTGGTGGCATAATTTCCTTGGTAAAAAACAGAAAACACAAAAAAGAAAAAAAGGGCCAATTTAAAACTTTATTTAGCTCTATTAATGTTATCAATCATATTTTTTAAAGATGTAAGTTATTATAAACAGTTTTGGTTTATAAAATTACAGAATACAAATTATATACAGAAAAAAAGATTTGACTTTAGCTAAAAGAATCTTTCAAAAAGAAAGCTAGATAATATGTGAAAATTATGGCTCTTTGAGGAGACAGTATCTTAAGAGTACTATTGCACAGAAAGGTGCATCCTCACCTCTCTACCCCATGCAAATACTTTAAAAGCTGCTACAAAAAGCTTCATATTTATGAAGATAAAAGGGTTATGGAATTTAAAGGTAAGGAGGATGGGGAAGAGATATTAAGCACAGAAATAAATTTAAAGCACACAGAATAAACACATATACTACACAATCCCCAAACTAAAAAAGTGAAAAGATAAAAGCCAGAAAACCTATGTTCCAATTTTGCCTTTGTCAGCAACATTAACATTTACAAAGTGCTTTAAAAAGCATTTATATATATATATATTATTTTACTAAATTGTTATTAACACTCAACCCAGTGATGTATGTCTCATATTTAAAAATTTATAACTACCCATTTTAAAGATTAGGAAAAAGGAATTCAATAAAGTGACTAATCCAAACTCAGCATTAGAGGACAGAGAGGGGCCATTATCTACAACTATGACATTAATTACAGCAGGCATGCTTGATAATCAGAATATTTGCATTTACTTTATGCACATATTAGAGGTCTTCAACATATCACATAAAAAAAACTTTTACTATTAGACAAGCCACAAAATATTTGTACTGGAACATACCTCTTCTTGTGGAACATTTTTCTCATTTTCAGCCTCAATCCTCACCCTCACAACTCCTGACTTATCCACAATCTCCTGAATCAGCTTTCCGTTTTTTCCTATTACTTTGCCTAAGAAATAAATAAATAAAGTTTGGTTTTAAAAACACATATCTTAAAGCAGTAAGCACAGCCCTACTGTAAACTATTACATTCATATAGATAGACATTTTTATGTGTATGTGTACGTATTGAATTGTAAGATTTCAAAACCAAAGTAGAGACTCTTTTCAACAAGATGGTTAATCTGGTTTTCTGTTTCATTAGGACATCATTGTTTAAACTCCTTTGGTCAGGTACCAGAGTTGATTAATGCTTGCAAACTGATTGGGTAATTTTGAATTTTTAAGGCAGTTCAAAGATAGCCTCTTATTTTTGCACAAAAGGGTACGCTTTAAACTTGCTGGTACCGTGGTATGTATCATTCTTTCTGCAAAGTTCTATAAAAAGAATTAAGAAAAAAGGAGAGATAATGGGAAATATATTCACTTATTCAATACTTTCCATTCTTATCTGTACCTGATTTAAATCTGCTTCTTTGTCCATGGTAAATATTTTCAGAATTCTGTATGGAAGGCACATTTATAAAAGATAATCTAAGTTCGAAAGTGGCTTAAGCAGCTATACATACATCCAAAAGGAATACAAATTCTTCAAGGTCAATGTGTTAACAGAGTATCACTCCTGTGCATTACTTATAAACTTTAGCAATGTATTAAAAAGTGAAGGGATTAGTCACAGAGTAAAAGATTAAGAAAACCCACTTTAAGATAACGCAAAACCACAATGAAAAAACTTAAAACCAGTTTAAGTATTTTTCAGTAACATCTATTAAAACTTGAGATTTCAAGTACCAGTAAAAAAATAGGTACTTGATCATTTTCCTTATTTTGTAAAATTCAATCATATACATTACTGGAAAATGGCTGCTTTCATAAGCATCATCGCACATGAGTGTTAAAGCAAGACATTACAAACTTAAGAATTACTAACTCTAGAAATGTATATGTGAACTACATCTGATTCTGAGGGCTCACCCAAGGTACCTAAGTACCCTTATATTGGCCACATCCACCAAATGCTTGCCCTCACCATCTCATCTTCCATGTTTTCCTTTTTGCCTTTAAAGGCAAAGCTCAAGGCAAAGTTGGGGGAAAAGATGGAAGCGAAAATTTGCTCTGAGCCAATGCTAGATAAGAACTCAGTGAAAAGCCTTCTCACAAAAAATTCTTGTGGCTCTTGTAATCAGAGCATAGCTTTGACACTCTTGCTGTGTGTGGCTGCCTCATTCACCCCTAGAAACTCTTTGACTAGTCATAGAACAGAACTGACACCATTAAATCAGGATTCTTGGTCTAGGTCCTGTCAATTATTTCTGCTCTTCTACAAGGAAAAGGGGAAAGGTGAGGTGAGAGAAGCTACTTGGAGTCTTCACACAGTTTGATTTTAATCTGCAACACTTATATTTTCATGAATTAATGTCGACTTTAATAAAGATCTAAGTGAGTTACCAAAATGAAAAATGAGATTTTGGGATGTTTTTATTAAGATAATGTCTTAACTATCCTAAGTACTGTGTGTTAACTATAGCAGACTGGTTATACCAATTCATTCTGAGTGAGTGAAGAATCATGAAAAGAAGATACATTAGTGCATATACTAAAGAGAGTTTGTGAAAAATAGAGATCACAAATAATGTTGGTTGACTCAAACAAAACGCATGCAAAACTGATTATGACACCTCTCTAAAGATCTGCCTTGCCCAAAATCTTACATAAAATGCTTTCTGAAAATTCCCAACATTTCCAGTGTTGCAGTGGACCATCTCTAAAACAGAATTATCTCATTTTACTAACTAGAAACAACAAAACAAAAACAAGGCTGATTTACTTTAGCAGTCTTTCTGGTTATTTCTGAGATCCTCTTCTTTCCAGGTAACCACAGGTAGAATCTACTTTTAATATTTAATAGCAAATAATCCAATTCTACATTATACACTTATTTCCAAATACCAAAGGGCAATTTACTATGATTCCATTCTACTGAAATGGAGTTGTTTTGAATAAGCTGAAGAACAGAGTCCCCTACTGTGTCCAGAATTGTCCCCTACTATATCTTCCCATTTAATTATCACATCAACTGTATGAGGTGGATACTATTATCACATTTGATAGGTAAAAAAAAGAAGTCTCAGGGGGGCTAAGACAGTGACCCACAGTCACACTGCCACCAAAGAATAAAGTAGGACTGAAATCCAGATCCAGCTCCAATGCCCAAGCACTCTCCCCACTACCATCATGTCACCTTCAAAACCAACTTTAATGAATCTGACACACAATTCTCTACTCATTTGCTATTAAAAAAAAAAAAAAAAACCTACCGGCTAAAAAAAAAAAAGAATTCCTAAATTTACAATAACCTTTCTAACTACAAAAGGTATGCAACTGCTTGACAAGCTGTAAAGAAGAAAATAAATATTATTCATCACCCGACTGTCTTGAGATTACCACTTTATCTTGTGCTATGCATACATTCTGTACACATACAATTGGTATGCAAGTTACCTTAGTAACATTACAAACACATTCTCCAGTTGTCTGTAGTATACAGTTGAGCTAACACTTCTGCATTATATCCCTACTATTTGTACTTTATCTTCAAGCTAATTTTCTTTGGAAGATACCATTTCTAGTGTTTGTTAACGACAAGGAAGATGTTTATGATTCTATGCTGACAAAAAAGCAGGCTAAATTAGCATCGAAACTACGTAAACAGAATGTATGAGAAGTCCTTGCTTTCTTCTTTAAAGTTTCCAAAGAAAATGTATTACTTTATATAAAATGGCCATGATCTCAAGTTTAAAAGATAAAACACATATAGGCAGTATGTCCCAATTTTATTTACAAATTAAAAACATATGTAGCTTTCTTGATAAAACTGCACCTGGTTTTGATATGTTCTACTAAAGATATCTGCAGCATTTAGGAGTATTGGTGAAGAGCTCCTAAATATTTGCTGATACTCACGATGGTGCTGGTCATAAAACAGTACTCAAGTCAAAATGAAGAATTACTATTGACTTTGCAGAAAGTCCCAGAGACATTTGAAGTTTCTTCTAGCTTTGGAACTTTTTAGATTTAAGTAACCTATGTTCAGATCTTCAACCCTGAGATAATTAAAATGAATGCTATCATTTTATAGTCCCATGAGAAGGATCAAACACAAATCTACTTCAAATCATAAAGCCCCCAAATATCATTCACTTTGAAAAATTATTTAATTTTAAGATATAAAAAGTATACAGTAAGGAGGCTGGGCAAGATTTACCCTTTCAGGTATTGGTAGGTTTGAATTAGAAAAGCAGTCTCTTTTGAATATCTTCTGAAAATGTAACCTTTGAACATCATACTTACCAAATAATTTTTTGTATGCTAGAAGAACAGACCATATTTCAAAGACTATGTTTCAATTAAATGATACCCTCCAGTGAGAAAAAGTGGAATTCTATCACCATAAATAAACTAAAACATACCTAAACTTTGTTTTTGTACTATATGTCAACAGATACTTCTGACTTACCTACTAAGTTCCTTGGAACTTGTATGACATCTTCAGCAAATTCGAGAAAGCTTCTAGCTTTTTTCACTGCATCCTGATCCTAATAAAAGGGGAAAAGTTTTAAGACAAAAGATTAGCTAGCTGAAATACTTGTTTTGGGGAAAAAGAAAAAAACTATGCAGTAAAATATTTACCTCTCCATAAATATGAAATGTGCAGGTATCTTCATCTAGATCAATAGCAGTGACCCCAGGTACTTTTCTAGCTTGCTGAATATTAGCACCATGAGTACCAATAGCTAGACCCATCAGATCTTCTCTTACGATAAACTGTTCATGAAATCTCGAGGCAAGCTGCCTTGAACTCTGAAGAGAAATGCACGTCTGATAAATACACTTTATCAACTATCATGACAACTGTATTGAGGCCAGCCATGTAAATTATCTTGACCCTGTATATGAGGGGTCCATAAATTTTAAATAGTTTTAGTTAAAAACTAACAGGTTTTAGAAAATACCTCTCACAGCCTAAGTACTTTTTAGGTTACTAAAGGTCTATGACATTTTATGTTTTTGTTAATAGGAAAGAACTTATTGACATTTTCCAAGGTAACTGCTGAAAACTTATCTGCAAGGCTGCCTTAGTTAACCAATGACATCAACAATATAATAACTAAGAAGCAGGTCAAATGTTCCCCAATAAAAACCAGCTCACTCGGTCTGACAAACTCAATGTTACTTATTTAGGTAAAAAAAAATGTTTAAATATCATCTTTATAGAAAATTTTATTCGCTTCATTTTTATTAAAAGGTATCAGTATATATTTTCTGGAAATAGTGCTATTTTTCATTAGGTACCGTGGTCTAAACAGTCCGCTGTTGTGAAATGACATTAAAATGATACCTCCCTCAAAACCTAAGGAATCAAAAATTGTTGGTACAGTAGTTAAACTGAATAATCAAAAAATGTCAAAAATTAAAAACTTAGTAAGTAAGCATCTGAAAGCTAACATGAGACCAGAGTCTGTAAGACCTTGTGATCTGGATCCACAAGTATGATGAGCACTTGTAAATATTCAGTGATGACGAAACTAAGTTACACTGACATCCCAAACTTGTGGATAATCACTGTCTTTAAATACCATTACCAAAATTTAGTGTTTAGTTCTAGCATGCCATTAATGAAAACCAAACGTATTAGTGGCTCATGTTGAAAAATGGGAATTTCTTATAGGAACATGTAAATCTCTTTAATATTAGTAGTGAACAAAGACAGACATGCAAACTAGTTTCTCATTGTTCAATAGACCTGATAATTTGAATGAATGAATATAACTAGTATAAATAATTTAAAAGTGCAATATCCATTTTTTTTAGAGTAATAAAATTTTTTTTTTAATTCTAGGACTTTTCAAGAAGTCATGTTTTTGGAGTCCTGGTTCATTAATCTGGTTCATTCTTTTTCATTGATAATTCACTGATAAATGGTTAGCCAAAAGTATAATAGATCATTTAAGAATAATTTGATGTTTAAGAAGAGGCATATGAGTATATTTTCATAATATTCACAATCAAAGTAAGGAGGCAGTTCTGGGCTAAAAGTTATGAGAGAATCACTAAAGAAACCACAAAATTGTGAACACAGGGACATCAAGAAAGAATGAGAGCAAAGACCAGTGAAACAGCCCTCCATGGCCTTAAGAAAAAACAAAGTGGCAAAAGGAGATTAAACTATTCCCCTTCTTCTAAGAGTTCAGCATCATACATCAAGTTGGCAGGTGGCAAATTTCACAGGGTTTTTATAAGAACACAGTCTTGACTACCTTTTCTCTTAAAATGCAGTTTGGAACTCCTTTTTATCTTTACTATTTCAAATGTGTGGTGTTTTCCTTCTAATGAATGATGATGAGGAACTCTGGAATTTGACAGTAATATAGTAGAGCTGGCACATTTTTCTAAGATCCACTTAGTTTCTCTAGTAATGGATGGACGTACCAGATAGTTATCAACGAAAACAAATGTATGGTGATGAAAATTATTGGAGGATTAATAGAAGTAGATAAAATGCACCTTAAGAGACGAAATAGTAAGTTAGGGAAATAGCCTCTGGCGGGAATCTGAAGACAGGAGTTTTAAAGAATGACAACCAATTAGAATGAAGAAGTTCTATATCCTTTTAAACAAAGATAAACATACATAATGAAAGGAATATGATTAGATATTTAAATATTCTCTAGTATTTTTAATGACAACATGTTATATGGAAGAAGCACTGCCTCATTTTATTAGCAGCTTTGATAAACTTCTAGTAAAAGTGAAAGGACCAGAAGTCCCTTAATATACATAAGCTGCTGCTGAATTTTGAAACCTCAGGCATGGAAACTTCAGTATGATTATGCTTTGTATAATTTTCCAACTATAGAACCTAAGGAATTGTTAAGAAGCAGTAAATAAATAACAAGCTCCCCATATTCAAGTTGTAGAACGATACAGTTATCTTTCCTAGGTAGCCTTACAAGCAGTGCTAGGGAAAGTGACATACCTCCAGCTGCTTACTAGCTTCTTCATTTCTCAGTATCAGAGACAACTTAGTGCGCAGACTCCGAAAGTGCATGTCAATCAGCATATGCGCTCGCTTTGAGGTGACTTCACTGATGGACTAAATGATTTAAATTAACAACATTATTATTAAGGCAATTGCCCCAGACGAATTAAACCAAAAATAAACAACTCGAAAATGCTCACCAAAATGACAAGCTGATAATTTTCTGGATCATAAGTTACAGAAAAGGCACCAACTGCCTTTTTAAAGTCCTTATGTGCCGACTCTTTGGCACACCTAGAAATTAAAAAAAAAATTAAGATGAATAATTACCAACTACTGACATAAATAAATGCAGATAGATTTACATGTGTAAGAATCATGGATTCATATTAAATTTGATTTACGCAAAATAAGCCATATCCATTTAGAAGCTTAGCTCCTTTTTCTGTACATCTCTGAAGTACAGCTTAGATTACCAAAGGAGACATACTCAGGGGAACCACTCTACACTACAGGTTTCCTGATTTCAGTTACATACAAGTCAGTAGTTTTCTTAAGTCAACTATTGAAAACTTTTGGAGATAGCTACCTACAGGGTAACTGATTTCTTTCTTTTTTTCTTGTCGCAGGCCTTTTTTTTTTCTTTTTTTTAATTTTTAGTTTTTGTGGGTACATAGCAGGTATATATAGTGTGTGTGTGTGTGTATATATATACACACATAGTAGGTATATATATTTATGGGGCATATGAGAGGTTTTGATATAGGCATGCAATATGAAATAAGCACATCATGGAGAATGGGGTAAGAAACTGCTAAACAACTTGAGGGAGAGAAGGAAACATATGAACCAGAAGGCACAAAAATTTACACACATACACAATCTCTAGAAAAGGGAGGATTTCTATGTATTCTGAACTGCAATTTAATGTTCAACATGTCCAAATCTAATGTACTGTATTCACTTGATAAAATCTGCAAAAAAAAAAAATGCATCTCTTCTATAGTCTTTAATCATTATTCCAGATCAAGGATTGTAAGATGAGATGACTTTTTAAAGCTTCTTTGGCTCTACTTATTACACATTTATCTGAAAACATTTTAGGTAAAAGAGAAAAAAACAGGAGAAATTATTTAGTCTATAATTTAGTTTGTGACTTATGACAGAATTATCACATTTGTTTGATCCATTTTTAAATCTTAGAATGAACAAAGTTAGTTTAGAAAACAAATGTACATTATGTACATCAGCCATGTGTGTAGCCAAGTAAGTTTAATCAAGTGCAAGGTTGCCTTGATTCTATAAGTAGGAAAAGCTAAATAAGTTTTTCCCCCACTGCTCTTGCAAACCAAACCATTTTTGCCAAAGTCCACCAAATTTAAAATCAATTTCTAATATTTTAAAATTTATATTCTTTTAAACTAATTGCATATTACTTCCAAGTTCTCAGCATTTCTTGTGTATCAACTTACATTTGTCGTAAGTCTTCTGGCACATCCAGCTTGATCTTATGGAAAGTATCTTTTGTGGCAGGTTTGTTGGGATTAACTGATCTTAGACGTTCAATTGTGACAATTTCATTGTAAGTTGCATCACATGCTGCATATTCTATCACATAAAACTGAGAAATAAATAAAAGTCACTCCTAATTACAATTTTTAAAGTAAGAGTAAGAAGAGTAAGACGTTCTCCCTATTCAGTTATTTTAAAATAAATTATCTATGGGAAAAAATTTATAACCAACTGAAACATACTGAACAAATAGTGAAAACATTTTAATTACTCAAAATTAGATATTACTTCAAAATAGAAATCCATATGGAAATGTACAACCTGGGTTCAAAAAAAGGAAATAGTATAAGAAAAAAAATTAAATAGGCATTTTCCTACCTCACCCTTTATCATCCTCACTTTAGCTAACCACCAACAGCAAGGCTCTTTTTCATTTGCTCTGGAATACACCTACACAAAAATTACAACACAGAATATTTCATGATTAACATAATTTTGAAATCTGCAGATTATCAGACAGCGAGGAAATTTTCTTAAAATGCCCCTAGGTGTCTTTAAAATCACGTCATGTATCTTTAACCAAATTGTAACCCTGTCTATGTACCCCTAGGCAGAGATACATAATCAGAAACTACCTGAGATTGCTTTGAAGCTCCTCGTAAAAATCAGTTTTCCTAGATTTCTGTTCTAATTCAGCAATAGTTAGTGCTCTGAAAATAGACGCTAATACAACCACACTTTCCTTGGGTACTCAGCGAGTTACAAAAATGTATCTCAAAATGTATAAACTTATTTTTGTTTTATTCTAGTAACCAAAAATTGACTGAAAGTTACTGACCATGCCCTACTGTCTTGTTGCTTCGTCACTAAATAAGTAAGACCACTGAACATTCAGCCCACTAAGGACACCACTCTGGCATTCACATCTCCTGGAACTAAATGGACAGATCCTTGGTCACTCTCTGGTCTCCTGCTTCCTCTCCACTAAAACGGACAACTTCATGGTGGCAATCCTCTGGATATCACCTTCCTGGTCTGTCACACACTGCAGATCAGTTCTTCTAACTCATCTCTTTGGTGACCACTTTAAAGTTCACTTAAGACGTACAGCATGGAATCTTTCATGAAGACCCTAACAAATCAAGGTTAACAGGAAAAGAGACAATAGAGTATATATGGAGAGAGAGACAGAGATACTCAGAAGCAGAAAACAGAAACAGGAAAGACAAGGGGGATGAGGACATGAGGCCAAGAAAGGTACAGAGTCTAGGGGTGACAAGTGAGTAAAAGCTCGAGCTTGCCTCCCTTTTACAACCAAAGTTAATGATCACACAATACAGTGACTGAATACAACTTAACATACCTTTCCCTCTTGCTTCCATCTTTCTCAACTACTCTAGCCACAGAAATTACCTCAGCAAATTGGTGAGGTCATCCTAGCAATGGTATCTCATTGGTCCCCATTTGTCAAGTGACCAAGCAGGGGAGAAAAAGTCCCTTTCATCTCTCCATCAAATTCTGGGTACTCCTAATATAGACCAAAGACCTGGGCCTTGCCTTCAGAGAGCTTACAGTCTCCTGGGGAAGTGGACAGCTAAGTATACAAAGTGTTTTTGTTCCCTATTAAGATCCCTTGCAAAACCAATCCCAGTTGCTTAAACCTAGTAGAGATTGCTTACATTTTTGGAAAATAAATAACACTTTATCCTATGTCCACTTTAAAACTGTAGAGAGAAAAACACAGGCCTGGACATTGACAGACCTTCCCTGACTACTCTCTAAAACAGCAATCCTGCCCTAGATCACCTTTCATTCTCTCGCTTTTTTTTTTCTTTGTTAAGACTCACATCTGTCACATTAGCTATCCTCACTGGAATGTGATTTCATCAAAGGCAGAAGATTCTGTCCTGTTTTTGCTACACCTTTACTACCTAGTGCAGCAAATAAGAATTCAAGCACCAGCTGGGCACGGTGGCTCACGCCTGTAATCCCGGAACTTTGGGAGGCTGAGGCGGGTGGATCACCTGAGGTCAGGAGTTCGAGACCAGCCTGACCAACATGGTGAAATCCCGCCTTTACTAAAAATATAAAAGTTACCTGGGTGCGGTGGTGGGCACCTGTAATCCCAGCTACTCAGGAGGCCGAGGCAGGAGAATCGCTAGAACCCAGGAGACAGAGGTTGCAGTGAGCCAAGATTGTGCCACTGCACTCCTGGGCAACAAGAGTGAGACTCCATCTCAAAAATAAAAATAAAAAAATAAAAATAAAGAACTGAAGGACAGGACTTAGAACCACTCTGCCTCACCTGCACAAATGTCTACTAAGCCACATCCTTCATACTACAAATATTCATGGAACGGCAACTACTATTAACTAATAGTAAGGCATTATGCTTATTATCGTGGAAAAAAAAGAGAAGCAGCTCAAAATGGAGTATGTGAAAGGATACAAAGGAGACAGGATACCACACAAACTATGTAAGGCACTGTTAGTGCCTTAAATACAAAACCAATTTCTAATGGAGAAAGAAATCACAAGCACAACATTTCTGTTCACATGTTAGATCTCCATCACACATTTTGGTCAAAGAGTTCAATGGGAGATAAGCAGGTAGTTCACGATATGCCCTGTGAAAAAGAGATTTTACTAATATGTATTAACTAAAGCTTGTAGGTTTTTAAAAATACACCAAGAAGATTCACTGCTACTTAAAGAAATTCTAGTATACTACTCTGTACAATAAAGCATGATTTCTTTCCTGTGTAAAATTAATTTTCATAATCCATTTTGCTTACAATGGGGACACAGTTGTAAACAAACGACATATTCAAAGATTCAGAAATTAAGGGAAGGAGAAAAGAATTACTAGTGGGCAAAGGAACTTGAGGCAGTGACTTTCAAATATATGCTCTGAGTACTGCTCAAATAGCCAAATGTAAGCATCATGTATCATTTTGAATTATTAATAAGATGAGTCAGTCAAAAGCACATGTCCATTTCAACTGTAATTCTCAAAGTAATTTAAACAGTGTTAAAGACAAGGTATCAAAAAAAAAAAAAAAACACACCACACACACACAGATAAATTAAATAACCCCACTCCTTCAGTGCTAAATGACTTTATGGCAGGGAAAACTCACCTCAACTTCATCACTTTCATTTATATCTTTATTATAACCTACAGGAGGTGGGAATCTGACATCATGGAATGGAATCTGCCTTTCAGGCTGCCAGCTGTAAATAAGCAAACATACAATTATTTAACATGCTTTTCATGTTTAACTGAAACAGTGACCACTCTGCCATCAACTTTTGGTTAAGCATGACCCCTCTTTTTCTACTTTCAAGAAGCAAAAGCTTTAAAATCATCAGTTTTTGCTGAACGGGACATAATGGCAATATAGTAACATTTCAGCAAAGTCTGCATGCAGCACAGCAGCCTACTCCCGTTTGGAATATTTCTCTAAACACAATACAGCAATATTATGATTTTCAAAACAAGTCTTCTTTCCAATAATTTCAACTTCTAAGAGCTTTAAACATAAGTCCACAACAGAAATTTCCTTCAATATTTGAATATTAGTACCAGTAATTGTTAGTAATATAAACATACTTCCACTTGCAGAAGAATTTTAACCACATTCCAAGGACCACAAAAACTGCCCTCTAATTCCCAAGCAAAATGGGGCTGTCAGCACATTAGCAATTCACAACTCACTTTTCCCCCTTTAAATTTTAGATCCCACGAGGTGGTCAATTCTTGCTGTGGGTAGCTGGATGCTGATCAGTATGACGTTATCAGCATGCACTGGGATGGTGGGGTCTCCTAAACCACAGAAACCCGATGGAGACAGCCTATAGGAGTTTAAGTTGCCTATGTTTTTAAATTTAAAATGATATTAAACAACTCTGAAAGATACCAAATTATTTTTTATATCCATAAAAATACAAAATATTAGGGCACGGTGGCTCAAACCTATAATCCCAGAGCTTTGGGAGGCTGAGGTGGGAGCACTGCTTCAGGCCAGGACTTCAAGAGCAGCCTGGGCAACAAGGTAGGACTTCATCTTTACAACAAATTATTTAAAAAAATAAAATTAGGTGTGGTGGTATGTGTCTATAGTCCCAGCTACTTGGGAGGCTGAGGTGCGAGGATAGCTCAAGCTCAAGAGTTCAAGGTTACAGTGAGCCATGAGCATGCCACTGCACTCCAGCCTAGGTGACAGAGTGAGACTCTGTCTTAAAATACATATATATATATTTTTATATATATAAAATATTAAAAGACAAACTTTGCAAAAATGCTGAGGATTCAACTTCCGGAGCAGTCACATCTGGGTTCTTTTTGGTGTTCTTCATTAGCAGATACTGAGATATGTTCTATGCATAATGTCAATGTTTTACCAAAGAGCTTTCTTAGTAAAATTCTATTGAGAAAAGTACTCGTTTTTGTTTAAAGAAGAGCTGTTACATAAGAGGGCAAATATTAAGTCAGAATTTGTGGAAATCTGATTAGGGCCTAAATTAACTAAACCCTCCTCTGAGTTATTATACATACCTAATAGATGTTACAGATTCATAGCTAAATTTGATTTTAAGGCATATAGTAATGTATAATGTAACTTCTTGGTTCCAAATAAGAAATAATTATTTTAAGTGTATACAGATAAAAATTCAAATTCCTTATTAAAAAATGTGAAATATGAAAACAGCTTTATGCTTTATGGAAGGTTTAGGAAGCACCTAAAAACAAAGCACCTAAAACAATATGGTATCAGTAACAGGAGCTTCTTCCTGATTGAAAGGAAAGAAAGGATAAATACAATCTGGCATTCTACAAAACACTGTTTTCGTTTTGTTTCTAACAGAAAACCAAAAAGGAAACACACAAGGAAGAGCAAAGAGATTACTTCGGTAGAGACCTATTAAATCCTATTGATGTGCTCAAACCCAGTGTTGTATCGCAAACATACTCCATGAACACAAGTTTAAAAATCAATGATCTATTTCAAGCTCCCAGGATGACAAAGAGCTTGAAGAGAAACTTTCATGCACATATGGTATAGGAGATAAATAATTAGAAGGTCCAAAGAGGAAATAATTTTAAGTTTATGGTAGAAATCTGACTGAAAACCAAAAAGAAGTGATCTGATAAATCAATGTATAAACTAGACAAATTCTTAAATGCATAGAGGAAATGAGTGTTTGCTTAATACTTTAGATTATAGACTACCAAAAACTAAAAGAGTAGCAAATAAAGACAACTCTCCCTTTATGGGAAACAGCATTTACCTAGTGATGTAAGTAAACAGATAAAGTGTATAATTGTAAGAAAAAAATACCCTCCAAGTTATCAAAGATTCCTCTGTTGGTATGATGCTGTTGTCTATTGTATGGCCATGGATACATGAAACGGCAAAGAGACAAATACTAAAACTTTTGGCTTTATGTGTTCAGGGAAAGGTATTCTATTATTCAAACTTGTATTTTGGTCTGTGATTATTAGTCCAGAGCCAGAAATAGGGTTAGATACTTTTGATCTTTTTATCTCTGTCTCCCTACATGTGTTTCAGGCATCTAAGGATACTACTTTGTCCTACTGCTAGCCAAAAGAGTCTGCTAAGTTCAATTACAAAATTTGTTTTCTAGACACTGAAACACAGGCCTGGTTTTAAACTATTATTTTTATTTAGAAGCAAGATGTGTGTATCTATTGCTCAGTATGCCTGGGTCACATACTACATTTTAGCAGACATAATCCACATATCATATAATTCATCAATTTAAATGTACAATTCGATGGTTTGTAGGTTTACAGTTATGTGTAATAATTATCAGTCAATTTTACAACATTTTCATTGCCACATACACAAAAATCTTGTACTCTTCAGCTATGGCCTCCCTACCAGCCCCAGCACTAAGCAATCACTAATCTACTTTCTGTCTCTATAGATTTGCAGCCTGCTTTTGATATATTATTAATTTTCTTGGTACATAAGAGCTAAAAAAAAAAAAAAATGATAACTGTTAACCATCCATCAGAGTTTAGTAAAAATCCTAAGATCACAGCCACATCTACACTTTGACTAAGGAGTTTATATGTACTTTACAATCTTAAACAGCTACCCTGAAAATAGCCTTTATTAGCATTCAAAAAATTTAGTCAAGAGACTTGTCTTCTCCAATAAAATGTTAACATCTATACTATTGATGCTTTCATACAGTTAATATTCCTAGGCCTATGACTGTTTTTATTTCCTCATCTAGCAAAAGAGAGCAGAAAAGATCAGCTACTGCTATTGCTGAATATATGAAACATAAAAAAAATCAGATAATGGCTAAACAGGACTGTTTCCATAAAATATACTAGACAACTAAAACCATCAGTTTTAGATTTAATGTTAAAGAACTCACATACAGCTTTTTAGCAATACCCATGAATCCCTTCATTGCTATCTTTTTAAAATTTACAAATATTCCTATGCAAACTTCCAGTTACTAATACACAAGAATCTCTGGTTTCTTTCGTCACATTCAAGGTAATTAAGACGTAAGGATCAATATCATACAATAACGGACCTTCAGGTCATTAGCAGAAACAGTCATTCCATTAGTTTAATACTGAGTTGTTCAGAAACTTCTAAGTCAGTAACATGAAGATCCATTCCTGACAAGCACTCAAACTAGACTTGAATTTTTAAAAAATGACGAGTAGAATTAGCATAAAATATTAAAGAACCTCATCATTAAAATTATGTAACGAGACACTTACTTGTTTTCAAATGCAACTGTTATTGAATCTTCATGAACATCCTTTACAAATGCCTGTGTAAGAAAAAATGTTAAATTAACTTGTGAGCTTAAATACAGTTTTTGTTTCTAGTCAAATTTTACAGAGATACCAAACGTTTTATGTGTTTATGAAAAAAACAGAACTTCAAATGAAGGTCAGTTTTTGAAGATCATTTATTCATTAAGCACATTTATATTGCCACCTTGTATGTGCTACACCCTAAAGACACAGATAGCTAAAACACTAAACAAGAAAAAAACTGCTGCATAGCCTAAAAAAACTCAAAAAATAGACAAGTATACTGAAAATTACAATGTGGTGGTGAGTGCAAAGCTGGACGTACATTTTAGGATAGAATTACTGAAAACTAAGAAAATTGTTCCAGAACCATATATCAGCCACATGTTGTAAACTACCTTTTCCTCCTTAAAATCTTAGAAGAATACCAATAGTCAACGATTAAATATAACCTCAAGTCTATATATATATATATACACACACACACACAAATATACTAAACTTTCTTTAACAATCATATGCTGCAAACAACACTAAAAAGTCCAGTTACTAGAGTTGAATTAAGTTCTCAATCTCACAGGCACTTGTAGAAAAAATATATAAAGTCCAGAGGTTTAGATCTTTTAAATCTGATGACACAATTGTTAATAATCTACACAAAGACAGAACAAAATGGCCAATCATCAAGAATTCTTTAATCAGCATACTGTCCGTAATTTTACAAAATTAACCTTTTAATAGGTACAGAAAAGGAGAGCTTTTGTTTTGGACAATTAGAAGAATAGGACAAAGCATAAAGAAACCCAAAGGCTTTTTAACTTAATTCATTTTAAAAGGGCTTGGGGAGATTTCAGCTTCTTACTCAAATTTATTCTGTATGTGTTTCTCCCCTTCAATGGTTTCTCCCTGCCTGCAGGACCATAGCCAAACTCCTTCTCCGGCCATGAAAGGCTCTACAGGAGTTGTCCTCCCCAGTCCCACCACTTCTCCAACTTTATCTTTCACATCCTTAGAGTTTGTGACCCAACAATGCTAAACTACTTGTGCCATACTCTGTAGTTTCTGGGCCTCTCTCCATTCCTTCTTTACTAGTTCTTCCCCTCTTTTTACATAGCTATCTCTTATTGTTCTTCCAGATTTCAGTTCAGATGTCATCTTCAATGGGAGAACTGAGAAGTCCAGGTTAAATTCCTGTCCTCTGCATTCTCATAGCATCCTATGCTTATCCCTACAATAAACTTACCCCACTCTATTATTATAGCCCATTTTCTCACTAACAGTAAGTTTCCTGAGGGTGGTGTCAGGTTTTACCTCATTTATGGTCATACTGCAGAGTGCCTAGTATGAACTCAGTGAGTAGTTATCAAATAGATCATTGCCTAAGAGGTTCCTATCCCAGCCTTAGGGAAAAGGTATGTGTGTGGGTGATGGCGGTGGTTAATAAGACAAAGGAAAACATACTGAAGAAGGTGAGGTTCCTGCTGACCCCTTAAAGGATAAGGAAGTATTAGGTAAACAAAAGAGAGAGGAGGATGGAGAGGCATTCCACTAAGCCCAAGGGGCAGCAGGCATAAAGGTTTAGACAGTGAGAAACAGCTGGGTTGTGGCAGAAATAATAAATCCTTTGTCAACAAAGAAGCCAAGACAATTCAATGGGGAAAGAATAGTGTTTTCAAAAAATGAAGCTGGGACAAGTGGATATCCACATGCAAAAAGAGTACGTTTCAACCTTTACCTCACACTACATACAAAAAAAAAAAAAAAAATCAATTAATATACATCAAAGACCTAAATATAAGAGCCAAAATTATAAAACTCTTGGGAGAAAACACAGTAGTAAATCCTCATGACATTGAATGTCTGATACGCATAATGGATAGTGAGACGATAACTGGTTTGGATTAAGACCATTCTCTAACTTCTGTGTCCTCAGGAAATGGCATAGTTTCTGGTATATAGAAGATGCCCGATACATGTTTTTAAAAACAAATGGTTCAATGCAGATGTCTTGTTAAACAAACATGTCTGTCTTCAAAGGCCTGAAATAAAAAGATTCTTTTAAAAAATGAAACTTCCCAAAATATCAAATTAAAGCATACGGAGTGAAGCATTAATTAGCTGCTCTTAAGAAAAACTATGGAAGCTGAGACGAGGCCCTGGAAAACACTGATAGAGAAGCAACTTAAGCAACTTAACAGAGATACCAAGCTTCTTCAATAATGCTTAAATAAATAAAAGTAAAGCTACGCTAAAAGAAAGCTTCCTTATAATATCAAGGTGGACTATAATGGCATCCATATGTTGTGCTATACCCAACGTGGCTAAATAATTATTTTTAAGTTAAGCAAGGGTATATATCCTTATAGTTACTGGTTCAAAAGGGGAGAAATCAACATTTTCTTACGATTTTGATCTTGGTTATTTTTACTCAGCTATATTTAAATGAACAATATTTTCTACAGCGTATTTTGAGAACTCTAGCTTAATACTGCCAATGATACTTTAGAATTATTAGATTTCATAAGGGTTCATGCCCCAGTGCTTCAAGGGATTGTTTGCTGCACTATTACTTCAACAGAGAGGCCTAATTTTGAGTTAGGTTGCAGGAACTGGTCACTCTTAGGCTCTTATTTCTATAGGTCATAAAAATTATAGAGAATGGCAAAGAGGATTCTCCTGGCCCCCATTTCTCCCTTGTCTTTACAGGATGGCTAATAACAAATTAAGTTTGGTTTTTGGGGGTGCTATTAGATTACTAACTAAAATTAAGACACCTATTAGGAAGTAACTGATCCCTTATTTACAAAGAAGGGCCAACGCTTCTGTGTTCATCCTTGTCTAAAGTTTTATGATGTTTATACATCTTGGCAGTAATTAACATTAGTTCCTTACTGTATACTACATGCTAAAAATGTTAAGTCCTTTAACCAGCTATTAGCCCTGTTACAGCTAGGTAAAGAAATGTTCTAAGTAAATCAAGTATCTATCCAAGACTACTGCCCTTGTCTAAAACTATGCTATCTGCCATAGTAGCCACAGGTCATGTGTGACTACTTACATTAAAATTAAATAAAATTAAAATCAGTCTCCAATTCACTCTTGCCACATGTCAAGCGCTCAATAGCCACATATGGCTTAAGTGCTACTGCAGTAGACAGAACCGATTTAAAACATTTATAAATGTTGGAGACTGTTTTCAGACTCATCATAAAAGCACTATAATATCAGCCTTATTACTACATTGTTATATTTTCCTTTTTTCTCTTTGCCTAAAAGTTATTGCCCAGTTGAATCATACTTATTCACCACATTTGCTTATTTCCTAAAATCAAATATTCTCTCAAAGGAGGAAGATCTGCAAGTGCTGTGACCATTCAAAAAAAAAAAAAAAAAAAGAAAGAAAGAAAAAGCTTTTGCAGGCTCTGAATGCATTTCCAGATGTAGTGTCAGAAATGGTTTGAATAATCATCGGAGCCCAAGACGGCCACTGCCTTTGAGTTAATAAGGCTTATCTGTAAATGGATGCTTACATGACTTTTTCAAAATCAGTCATTTTAAGTGAATACAGAAGGTATATAATACCTTTGGCTGGTGCTTTAATAAGTGGAATAAAAGAAACTCATAGGTTGCCTTTGGTCTACACTTGCGTGAAAGACAAATACCTCCTGTTAATTCTAAGGTCTTTCACTAAATCTTCATTCCAGTAAGGAATTCCTGTTTCTCATCCTAGTTTTTCCAATAGCCCCCTTTGGGCTCCATCTTTCCCCTTATCCACCACTTACCCACCCACAGATACACTCATACCTTTCTTCTTTGGCCATCTCCAGAGCACTATCATTCCACCTATCACCACCTTGGAAAACTGCATTTTCCTGTGATCTCTACCTATCAGGCAAAGCTGATGTCTGTAGAGAAGGCAGGTTGAGGAGGTTCCTGAGAGGTTTCCAAAGGCAGCAAATTGAATGAATTTGAAAGAACACACAGGGGAATTAAAGTGTATTGCGTGAGGGCTAGGGCTCTTGTTGGAGTCAGTGTACTTAGTGGTTAACGGTTTTGCTGCGAATCAGACCTACGTTCGAAATCTTGGCTCTAACACGTAATAGCTGTGAGACTCTCACCAAGAAGTGATCTCTGGACCTCAGATTCCTCATCTGCAAATAAGGAACTCGACCAGTCTCCCTAAGACTGTTGTGGGTAATGAAATTACACACATGGGGGGCACCAAATAAATGAGAGCTAAAGTAGAGAGTGTCATATTTTATAAGAGATGCAGAATCATAAATGCTTTTGCATTTGGAAAATGTACATTCCAACAAAAGCACACTTAAAAAAAAACTTTAAAAATTGGGATAGAAAAAGAAAAGAACGTTTCCACAAAGATACTTAATACTAAAAGGTTACTTAGAGTTTGGGAAGAAAAAAAATGTGATGAAAATCTTGGGGTTTGAGAAAGGTGATAAAGTACAGTTTAAAAGAGATACAGGTTCTTCATCAGGGTGAATAAACAGGAAATAAATCATTAAGGGGTCCCCAATTTACTGGCAACTGGGCCAAAGAGGTAATTACAACAATCATATTTACGAAAGTATGTAAAGCCTAGTGCTATCCATTCACACATTCTAATACCAGGACTGATAAAACAAAAACAGAAAGTCCATCCCTATTTGGGTAAACTCTCCCCAGCAACATCTCACATTCCTTCCCTTAGTAAAGTATCTTACAAACAGGAACCACTGCTCACAGGAGAGGATATTGTGTATTAAAGTTTCAATGTACATCCGACCAGCAATGAACACAACCACAACATCATCAGTAAGCTTCCATCATTTACTGAAGACAGAACATGTAGTGCTATGGTAATTCTCGTTAGGAAAAACTTACAGCATTGTAAAATATCCCTCCTAAAGAAAACCTGCCGGAGACCGGGCCCTGTGGCTCATGCCTGGAATCCCAGCAGTTTGGGAGGTTGAGGTAGGTGGATAACTTGAGATCAGCCTGGCCAAGATGGCGAAATCCCATCTCTACTAAAAATACAAAAAATAGCCGGGCATGGTGGCACATGTCTGTAATCTCAGCTACCTGGAGGGCTGAAGCATGAGACTGGCTTGAACCCCAGAGGTGGAGGCTGCAGTGAACTGAGATCCCACCACTGCACTCCAGCCTGGGCAACAGTGAGACCCTGTCAAAAGAAACAAAGAAACAAACTAAAGAAACAAAGAAACAAACTAAAGAAACAAAGAAACAAACTAAAGAAACAAAGAAACAAACTAAAGAAACAAAGGAAAGGAAAGGAAAGGAACAGAGGAAAGGAAGGAAAGGAAGGAAAGGAAAGGGAAAGGGAAAGCGAAAAGGAAAAGGAAAGGAAAGGAAAGGAAAGGACACCAAGAAAGAAAACGTGCAGGAAACAGGATAGGGACATAAGAAATGTGATAAAAGTATGATGCAAACCCAAGGCTTCATATATAAAGCGAGTTATCATTTTGTCCCCATCCCCCCACCCCGTTGTATGGGGACACTAACAACATAAAAGAATAAACAGAGACAATAAACCTCATCAACAGTCCTTCCAACCATACCACATGTCCAGGACTTCATATAGGCATCTGCCACAAATTATGAGAAAAACACATTCTGCTTCATTCTGACCAAAAGACAACAGAGACATGTGCAAAAAAAAAATTACTAAATTAGTTTTTAATTTTTCTTGTGTGTATGTATTCTAACTTTTGAATACTTCAGTTTTATGAGTTCCCAATATAACAAAGGCAAATTTCCTAGCAGGGTCAAAGATTTCTAACCTTATCTTTCCTTAACAGGCATCCATATGAAGAAGTACAGTGTCAAGGTTCAAGAGCTAATAACAAGAGAAGCTGGCACATAAACTGAATTATTTCATGATGGCTTTGTATTAACAGTAAAAAGTCATAATATAACATCGTAACTATAGTTATAGGATGCTAAGGCAGTGTTATAGCACAAAATACCACAAATCAAAGACCACAATGAAATTGAAAACGGAGCAGGAAATCAAACCAATTTCTTCAAGCTAAATTTCATCATTTCAGGAATTCAGAATCCTGACCCTTAATGGCACTGAAACTTGGTAGTTAAGTCACTTACCTAACCTCTCTGTGCATCATTTAAAGAATGAGAATAACAACAATACATAAAATAAAGTATCAGAGGTAAAGCACCTAGAACAGTGCCTGGCACCTAGAAAGTACTCATCCCCTGTTAACTATTATTATAATCACGATCCCAATCTTCTCAGGAAGCACATTCCTACAGTGGGCAGACATCAGAAACTCCAGTAATATACCACTGAACGTTGCATCTAATTAATAATTTGGAGGTTATCAGAATATTTAATATGGAGTTAGAAAAAGCACAGTTCAAAAGGGGAAAAATGATGCAGCCACGAAGATCCTAAAAACTAAAAAGGGCAATTAAACTCTAGGAAGGAAAAAAAAATGTGGTTGACCCCAATAATTCACTTCCTCGAAGTACAGAATAACACCTTTATGCAAAGTTATCTCAAAAAACTTCAGAGAAACCATGAGTGCAAGTTTATTTACACTTTACGCAAGTTGATTTATAAACTCATAAATTTATATACCTTATGCAAGTTTATTTGTAGCAAAACTGATTTTACTACATTTCAGCTATGCATCTGAAATGACATGTTAGACCACTAATATCTTCATTAAAAATATCCTTTTGATTGTACACTTCACCATATTTAGCTGCTAGCTGCCATAATACTACTAACCAAATGAAAGTCTGTCCTCAAACACTGAACTTAAAAAATAAAGTATAATCTAACAATAAAATTACAATCAAGTATAATTATACCATATTACAATAAGGAATCAGAAATCAGAAGCTGTATTTTCAGAAAACAAAAAAGGTTTGTATCTTATGAAAAAAACATGTGATTTATCCATCTTCAGTCATTTTCATACTAGTACACAAAACCTACAAATCTTAGGATTAGGGCATTCATAATGGAATGATACGCATTCTACATTTAAAATGGAGTTAATTCATTACCATTCTCAACACATCAAAACTTCTAGTCCAAAGAAAACAAATTATGTGGGGCAGATGCACCTAGAATAAAGACTTTATTTCATCATTATTCACTTAGAAAATACTTTGTAAAGATTTTATGAGGTGTAAGTCAAAGTGTCTTCATATCTTAACACCTGCAGGGCACTGTAAAGTGGTACACGTCACCACTTATTTCTAAGTCAAACAAATACCTAAGCATAAAAGTAGTGGCTCTGGTGATTGCTAAATCTAACTTTTAAGTTTTTAAGAATAAACATCAGAAGATAGAGAGATGTCCTTGGAAATATGGTGGTTATGTCAGGCGAATCAAAGTCTGAATTCAATTATACTCAAGTTGTTTGTTTAGTTTTTAAAGCTTTTCTATCAATTTGATGAACAAGGTTCCTATTTCTTTTTCCATAAATGTAACACTTCTCCACAGCAGTTCATTTTTAATTGGTTTATATTTCACATCTTTTCTGTCCATCCCACTGGACAAGTAACTCAGTTTACTTTTGCTTTACTTTTTAAACTCACAGCAAAATTATAAGTCATATAAAAATTGCAAGCTTTTTTGTTACAGAAACTATTTTTCCATCAGTACAGACCATTTGAGATTTTCTTAGAAATCAAACTTAATTAAATAAACGTAACAGCAATTTATCTGACACACACTTGAGCAAGTATTACATTTCTCCTCAGGGAACTAAGGGGCAACCAACCTATTCTTCATTCACCTTCAAGTTAAACAACTTCGTTACAAAATGAAACAAAAAAGGAGGAAATTAATAGCAAAATAGGAGGTATTTCTTATATTCCAGTCAGTTTGCAAGCAAAATCACTGGAGCAAATCATAAGTTGCTGGAAGAGAACAGTAAGTACTTCAAGGCCATAATGTGCTACTTGCCCTCTGTGGTAAGCAAACTTTAGTGGCATCCAATCTAAGTTTATATCACAGATCAATCAGAATCTTGCTTAACCATTAACCCTTACTCACACATATATATGTATATATATTATAGTTATTAGTGCCAGAAATCTAGTGACCAAAACCACTAATCTAGGACCCTGAACGATTCTACGCAAACTCACCAGAAGAAATTATCGATCAATGAAATTAAAACTTTGCAGAGTCAACTGAAACAATTTTATATTTATGAGAGTGTTAAGACCATAAACGTGGGGTTACCTTTTGCCTCCTTTTACAGCAAAAGGTTTTAACTCTGTGCTCAAAGTATGGAACGGTTTACATACTCTACTCATTTATGAAATATACTGATCTCCAAATGTCTTCATAAAATTGGTAAACACAGAATAAAGTCAATTGTTTATTTTCCTATAGCCAAACGTGTCCTGTTTGAAACATTCAAGTCATTCTATAATACATTTAAGAATTGTGCTGGACACTGGTAATAGCTATTTTCCAGGCTTCCTTCCACATGCACCTTCTATTGGCAAAATACTGTAGTAAGGTGGGATATTATTTCAAGAGGTTATAGACGTTCAAAAGGAAATGAGAATCTATAGATTAATAGATCTACAGCAACTACGTACCAACAAACGCACAACTGCTACATCAAATTTGTAAATCTTCTTAAAACTGAAAGGTGTTAGTTGATCTGCAATGGTGTAACTTTATAAAGTACAGTAAACCCATGAATGCCTATATAAAGCCTCAACAACTCAGTACAATTCAGTCCACTGCAACACCACAAATTCAAAGGAAATGTGGTCAAGTTCTTAGGGGCACAAAAATATTTTCGCTCAGTTAAAAAAAAAAAATGCCCTATTTATAATATACTCTCAGTTAATTTCCTGAAGTTTCATGGCATATATTTAGGTCTTTGGAAACTTAAACATACACACAAAATTTTTAAGTAGCAGAGTTGCTAATGGTTTTAGACGCTGAAGCATGTGCATTCCTGAATTTATCCCGTTTAACAAAAAGGGGGGCGCGAATATTCACGATGATCAACTTCTTCAATGCATTGCTGGGCCATGTTCTGAAACTTTTGGTTCTAAAATCTCCTCCGAAATCCACAAAGAGAAGCCACTAAAAATCAGTTGCCATTGTGATTTGGTGCCGACTACCGCTTCTTACTACTCTTTCTTCACAGCCCTCGCCCAGAACAGTGGAGCTCTCCGAAGTCCCAATGCTAGACCGGAAAAGAGAAGCCAAAGGAGACCTGAAACCCTCTTGGCGCTGCAGGAGGCGGTCCGGCTGAAGCGTCCCCCGCTCCTCCACAACTACCCACACGTCAGGCCCGGATCCCGCTGGGAGAAGATATTTAGGAAAGGAGGAATAAGCCGTCGCCGTCACTTAGCGCCGATTTCGGCTCTTCCCGCCCGGCTCTAGTACCTGCCGCCGGCCCTCGCCCATCCCCATCTCACCCCGGCGGGGCTCGGCGCCGAAAGGGAACCCTCTCCTCGCTGGTCCCTCATTCCGATAGGCGCTAGGGCCTCTCGGACTCGGAGCGGGGCTCGAGGGTCTTCCAACAGGCCCCAAGTCCAGTCCTGCCCTCCCAAATAACATCCCGCCGAGCGTGCCCTGGCACGGCGCTTGGGAAGAGGGCCCCGGGCCTGCCTCCCGCCGACACCAAGAAGAAAAGGGAGGGAAGGGCGGGCGAAGATGGGGCCTGCCCTGGAGTCAAGTACCTTGTAGAAAGCGCCATTGGAGCCCCGCACTTCCACCACCAGCTCCTCCATCTTCTCTTCAGCCCTGCTCGCGCCGGGAGCCCGCCCCCGAGAGGTGGGCTGCGGGCGCTCGCCGCCGCCGCCGCCGCGCTGCCGCACGCCCCCTGGCAGCGGCGCCTCCGTCACCGCCGCCGCCCGCGCTCGCCGTCGGCCCGCGAGGCGGCCCTTCACCGGAAGTGAAACCGAAACGGAGCTGAGCGCCTGACTGAGGCCGAACCCTCGGCCCGCTGCGCGTGTAAACACTGAAACCACGTCACGTGATCAACGCTGTTCCCTCCCCCAGCGGGCTCAGCCCCTCGGCCCCGCCCTCTCTCTTCAAGTGGCTTGGGAGCGCGCGCATGCGCGCTTCTGGGAACCGTCCGGGGATTCGGGTCGAACGTCAGAAGCCCGGGCCGGGCGTGCGCGGGCTCGGCGGAGGGCGGGAAGGCTGAAGGGCGGTGACAGGTCGCACCGCCTCGCGAGGGCCGGAACGCCCATCTCTGCAGAGGTGCACTCAGTGGCATGGGAAATCAGATGCATCCGGTTATCCCAGTTCGGCCTCGCTAGGATTCCCGGGGGACGTCTGGTTTGGTTTGGTTTGTTTCAAAGTAGCGGAGAGCCCGACTGAGCGGGAGGTGGAGTGGAAGGCGAGAATAGGGGTGAAGGATTAGACAGAAGAAGACTTTGAACTAGGAACGGTGGCAACCAGGGTGACCCAGGCTTTTGTGACCTGTAGAGGCAGTGGGTGAGGAGTCACGCCCTCTCTCACCAGATTTTGGGTGGCCCTGTGGAGACACCCTGTGCCCTTTAAGGGACATGGATTGAGTCAGGACCTCAAAATGTTAGCCTTTCCTCAGACCCAGCTTTGACTCACGTACTCACCTTTCCTCAACTAATTTTCATACTTTCACTTGACCATATATTTTTTAAAAATTGGGTTAAGCACTTGAGGTTCATTTCTGCCCCTACTCTATGTGCACCCTGTACCAGAGGATGGGGTGAACACGTGTGTAGCAGTCATGCGTCCTGTCTACAGGGGCCGATGCACCTACTTGCAACCCTTTACCTTCTACTGTGAAACAAACCTCAACTTTTATTCCTGTTTTGCACCGTGCTTATAGCTGCCTTAATCCATGTTCCCTTCGGGATGCTGGTACCCAACTGAGAAGTTTATGTATCTATCATGTGCCAGGCACTGTGCTAAGTGCTAGCGAGAAGTCGGTGAGCAAAACAGAAAAGAATAAAAAAGAAGAAAAGACTGCCAGCATTGAACTTAGAACCTAGCAAAGTAGATGGACATAAATCAAATTATCAGACAAGGAAATGAGGAGTTGCAGCTGTGATAAGGGATATGAAGAATAGGTGCTTCCATGATGGCGGAACATGACCCAGTCTGGGGTGGAGAAGGGGAAATGATTCCAGCTGGAATATGGCAGGTGAGAGTTAACTGGTAGCACTGCATTGGCCGAGGCAGGATGACCTGCCTCAGGCAGTTGCCCCAGAATGAGAGGATGTTGCTGCTGGTGGACCTCCAGCTTTAAAGCAGTGGATCTAGGGCCACATTCCTCAAGGCCATAGTAAACAGGAAAGACCTTTTGGACTAGAGTCTTTGAAGTAGTCACATGAGGCCAAGACCCCAAGAGGGCTGAAAGAGAATCTCATCAGGCTGAATGGGAGCAGAGCATTAGCTGTAACTCCAATATATTATAGTAAAAGGGTACACATTGATTAGAATGATTATACCCCTCCAAGTGTAAGATGTTGTTCAATTTATCCAGGACTTAAAAATATGTCAACTCTTCACAACCATTTTTACTACAAGCCACACTCAACCTGTGTTGTTCCCTGAACCTGTGATGCACTTTCATCCGTTCATGTCTCTACATATCCTTCCTGGACCCCGTAGAGGCCCCACCCCTTAAGGTTTTCAGCTGGATTCCCATTAGCTAGTTATCTTCTCTCAGGTACAGACAGTTAACTTTGCTCTTCAATATTCAGCACATTGTCATATCAGTCCCTACAAGGTCCTTGTTTATATTATTTTATATTTTTTATATTATTTTTTCCTCATCTTCCTCAATCCCCACTCATTCTTCTAGACACAAACTGCAATGTGTTTGATAGAGATTCTTGATAATTTAAGACAATGTTTTGTTTATGCTTCTTGCGTTTACAGAGATGGTATTGGACTGTAAATCTCTCTTTACAACTGTTTTACTCAACACTCTGTTTTTGAGCTATACCCACATTGCTGTGTGTACACCTAGTTTGCTACTGAGTATGCCAGAAATTGTATTCATACATATCCCTACTGATCGGGCATCTAGGTTACTGCCAACTCCCTGAGGTCATACTGTGGTGAAAACCCTTGTGAATGTCTTTACAAACCTTTGCCAGAACTTATTTTGTGCTCTTGTAGAACTTTGTGCATACCTAAACTGCTTGGCATATAGCAGGGACTCAACAAATGTTGAATACCTCTACTATGATGGTTAGTGTAACAGAATAATTTATTTATATTTCTGTTTTCCTTATTGGATTATTAGTACCTTCCAGACAGGGCAAATGTCTTTTCTATCTTTGTGTCCCTGGCACATTAAAAGTGGTTGATTTCAAGGTATGTTCAATGAATGAATAAATACTTATCCTCACTGCCAGTACATACTGCCACTTAGTCTTGCCCACATGACTCTCAGTCTCAGCCTTACTCTGATCTCTAGCTTTTGATATTTCTCCTTTCAAGATAGCTTACCTGAATTCAGACACTGAGCTCAGGCCTGCTCATGAGCCTGCTCTTCCAAAATCCTCTCTCTCTCTCTCTCTCTCTCTCACACACACACACACATTCTCTCTCTCTCTCTCTCTCTCCCTCCCTCCCTCCTTTCTCTCATTACAGGCAGCTCCTGCCCTCCAGTTCATTGCTCAAGCCTAAAACTGAGACGTTTTGACCTTCTTTCACACATCAAATCCATCAGCAAATCATTGTAGAATCCAGTATCTGTTTCTCATCATTTTCTCAGCTAAAACCATAGTCCAAGCTTCCATTCTCTTACCTGCATTATGGCAACAACTTCTTTGCTGGTATCCCTGCAGTCACTGTTCACTGTTGTCCTCTCTCTGACAGTTCTCAGCACAGAAGACAGAATGACCCTGTTCAGGTGTCAATCAAGTCACTCTGCCACTCAGAATCCCCCAGTGACTCCCTACATCTCTCAGAGTAAAAGCCAGAGTCTTTATTTATTCTGGCTTCAGTGCCCTATATACTATTATCTGTTATCTCCTCTATCTCACCTTCTGCTTTCCCCCTTCACTTCATTCCAGTGAATGAAATCTATCTAGTTCACCTAGATTTTCTCCTATGTTATCTTTCAGAAGTTTTACAGTTTTGTGTTTTGCATTTGGGTTCTACGATCCATTTTAAGTAATTTTTTTTGAAAGATATAAGGTCTGTATCTAGATTATTTTTTGCATATGAATGTCCAGTTATTCCAGCACCATTTATTGAAAAGGCCATTGTTTCTCATTCCAGTCAATATTTTCTTTGTTGTTTCTTGAAAATACCAGATAGGTTCTGTCTGTCTCCTCTCACTAGAGTGTAAGCTCAGTGAGAACAAAGATTTCCATTTGTTTTATTCACTGCTTGTCCCCAGCGCCTACCACAGTGTCTGGAACATAGTGAATGTTTACTAAATATTACATGAATGAATGAATATGTGTTGAGGACCCGGCCAAGGTTGAGTCAGCTCTCATGCCTATATTTATCTGATATTGGAATGATGCTTCAGTGTTTCTAGCCCAGCCTTGGCCCCTGGTTTCCATTAAATTGCTGCCTGTTGTCTTTGCATTGATTTATTCTGTGCTATTTCCTGCTCCTTCGCAATTTGAGCCCTCTGAGTCTTTTTCATGCCTCAATCCCAGCTGAAATGCCTTCTGCCCTTTCCGACTCTCAAATCTTATGTATCCTTCAGGACCCAGCTAAAGTCACACTTCTTTCTTGACACTTTCTCTGACAATTTCCTTTAACCGTAACCTCTCATTCAAATGAGACCTTAGAAAAAAAATAATTAATTGGCTTTATTTTTTAGAACAGTTTTAGATTGATGGAAAAATTAAGTGATAGTGGAGTTTCTATGTACTCCCTAATCTCCCCTCCTCCCCTACAGTTCGTCCAATTATTAACATCTTGCATTCGTATTGCACATTTATTACAGCTGATGCATTATTACTAACTAAAGTCTATAGTTTACATTAAGACTCACTCTTTGTATTGCACAGCTCTGTGGGTTTTGAAAAAAGCATAGCATATCCACCATTAGTGGGTCAGCAGAACAGTTACACTGCACTAAAAAATTCCTTGTGTTCCACCTATTCATCTGGTCCACCTGCAACCAACCACTGGCAATCGCTGATGTTTTTACTTTCTGTAGAATTTTGCCTTTTCCATAATGTCACGAGTTGGAATCATATAGTATGTAGTCTTTTCATACTGCTTTTTTTTTACTTAGCAATATATATTTAACATTCCTCTTTGTCTTTCATGGCTTGATAGTTTGTTTTCTTTTATTGTGCACAATATTCTACTGTATGGATATACCATGGTTTGTTTATCCATTTATTTATTGAAAGACATCTTGGTTGCTTTCAGTCTTTTAAAATTATGAATAAGCTTACTGTAAACTTTCTTTACAGGTTTTTGTATGGACATGAGTTTTCAACTCATTTAGGTAAATACCAAGGAGCATGATTGCTGGATTATATGGTAAGACTATGTTTGGCTTTATCAAAAATTACCAGATGGTCTTCCAAAGTGGCTGTAACAGTTTGCATTTTCACCAGCAATGAATGAGACTTCCTGTTACTCCACATCCTTGCCAACATTTGGTGTTGACAGTATTTTGAATTTTGGCTATTTTAATAGGTGCATAGTAGAATCTTAGTTTTAGTTTGCAATTTCCTAATGACATATGGCATTGGGCATCTTATGCTTATTTGCCATCTATCTATCTTCTTTGATAAGGTGTCTGCTCAGATCTATTACCCATTGGGTTGTTTTTTTAATGATGATTTTTAAGTGTTCTTTATATATTTTAGATATCAGCCCTTTATCAGATTATGTATTTTGCAGATACTTTCTCACAGACTGTGGCTTGTCTTTTCATTCATTTAACAATGTCTTTCATAGAGCAGACGTTTCTAATTAAAATATTTCAACTGTTCAATTTTTTTCATGGATCATGCTTTTTTTTTTGTA